ATATACATACACATTTTATTATAACCATCACTTAAAATTTCAATGTTTATCATTACAGCAAATGATGGATTTTACCTGAAACATCATTGGTTCTGTGGCAGATGAAAAGTTTAGACTTTTGGATAATTGTACTTCAGGATCATATTTTTTCACATAGGCTTTAACCATCACAGTTTTTGCAGTTCCCTGCTCTCCTATGAGCAAAACAGCCTGCAATCATAGGATAATCATGTTGAAAGATGCTGTAACATGTTCAAAGTCTTACGGTTCTACTGGCTATTCTTGTATTCTGTAAATTAACACAACTAGTTTTAACTGCCTTTTAGAATTATACCTAAATCAAAACAAATCCTAGTTGAATTAAAGATTTAAATGTAAATGCATACTATAAAAGTGCTACAAGAAAATATGGTCGAATATCCATGTGGCCGTGGGAATATGAAAGAGACTTCGTAAGGAGACGTTCCCTTTCCTCAGCAAGCTGGGAGTCAGCAGTTCAGGGGATACTGAGTTTGAGGGTACCCTGGGACCTGGGGTTCATTTACCAGAAATGTTTCGCTCGAAGGACACTACCTCCAGGCCCTTGTGTTGGAATTTAATTTTTCTATCTTAGCGTGTGAAAAGGGATGTGTTTCTTACATTTGTGATCATCCAAGAAACTATCAGTTAAACTTACTTTATATTGTTTTGCAATAGTGTCTATCAAAAAATTTGTTCTAATATTGTCAACATTTGGAACCAAAATCGATGAGTATTCCGGAACACTGTCAGTTGGATAATAATATGGCTGAAGTTTCTTATTCCAGTGCTCCCAATCACCTATAAGACAAGTAAAATTTCATCTCAATAAAATTGCATTCTTCAAACATTATCTCAGAACACAAAAATGTAAGTGCTACAATCAATAGAATCATACAAACATTTAAAACGTTTTCCTAAAACACGTTAATGTATCTGCTTATCTAATGTTTATGGCATTTGATAATTTAAAATTTGTTCTGCCTTTTTATAAAGTCAGCTTTTAAATTGCTAAATCATTCATCTAGAGAAACCTGGCCTGAAAGGGAATTAGAATCAGCTGATGGTAAAACCAATGATGTGATGGGTATCTATTTATTAGGAAAACCACATCAATTGAAAAGATGGAAAACACCTGATTACTAGATATAGGCTATTTGCCATGAGAAGCTGGAAAAGTAAATCTGTCCCCAAAAGTGCAGTACAGTGTACAGAGTGCCAGATCCTGACTTACAGTAACTACTAATTTACTAATTGATGTTGTTGTTATAATAATTATTACCACATTTCATCCATTCTAAGAAAAAAATTGTTTATATTTTAGCATCTCTGGATGGTCCCTTACGATGCTATACAATCGTGTTGGCGAGGCAAATGTGGTCACGGCCGTTCCTCTCATTGCCATTCACATTGAATTACGTTCACTGTTGAGTTTAACTACCATTTTCAATGTCTTCAAAAAGACTTACCTTCACTATGGCTCAGAATTATACCAAAAAAGTTACTGTGTACTCAGAATGCATGGAAAGAGAGCATGCGTTTGATATTAGCAAATATTCATCACTGAAGTAATAACTTCAATTTCACACTTTCTTGCAAAATAAGCAAGTCATATGCTAAGTGTATGTTTAACTTTTAAGAAATTGCCAAACTGTTTTCCAACGTGCCCATGTCATTTTGTGGCATATGAGAGTTCCAGGTGCTCCACATCCTCACCAATATTTGACATTATTAACCTTTCTAGTTCTAGCCATTCTAGGGGGTATGTGATGATGTCCCATTGTGGCTCATTTCCATGATGACCAATGATTCTGAATACCTTTACCTGTGTTTTGTTGATCTTTCATATATCTTATTTGAGGAAGTATCAATTGAAATTTCTTGCCCATTTTAAAATTTGAGTTGGTTGTCTACTGATTATTATTGAATTATAAGAATTCTTTACATATTTTGGAT